GAAATGTTGCTAGCCCAGCCGTAAGAATCTCTCGTTATATCCACTGTCACGTAAGGTAGAACACAATAAGGATGGTGGATATTTGTAAAGTCTTTCATCTTGTGCTGATAAAGAAGACAGTGCCTATAGCTATAGGTAATGCAAAGGCGATGGAGAGAGCTGAAAAGGCACAACAGATAGACTTCTCGCTTACCGATATATTTTATTTCAATTAATACATATTAATTGGAATAAAAATGCAAAAATAAGTACAACAATTAGGTGAGCGAAATAGCAAGACACACAACCGACAATAAGTTATCTTAGTGTGAGTGTGACGCCACAGATTATGACTCGCAGATCAATGGATGCTTCTAAAGTTCTGGATGCTTGCTAGAATTAATAAATTCAGATTGTCAAATGCATGGAGATCTGGACTTATCAAATCTTTTCATAGCTATTCCACACAGAGGACTGCAAATACAAAAAAGCAATAATGCTGATAAATGCAATTAAGGGATATCAACTTATGACCTGGAGACAATAGTAGTGAATTTCTTACTTCGTAAAGTGCAGCGCCTCTGTTGTTCATTTTAAAAGACGCGATATTTATTAAGACGTATAGTAATGACCTTGGGAGACTTAAATGATACAACATGCTTTATGAGGACACGCAGTATTTCCTTGCTTATTCTTTTTAACTGAACATAAATTTTATAGTCATTCATTTAATTAAGCATTTCGTTAATTGATCATACATTATTTTTTGTTTAAGTTGAGGATTATAGAGAATAAGGCGGTGTGAGTTTCGGTTTCACTAGCTGTAATAACGATGCAAAAAGATTGCAGTCGATTATCCACACACTGAGCCTACAGCCCCCTACGTGGCTTTTAAACTTTAATGTATTCGAAGGTGTGTGTCAACATCGCAGCGCTGGCCAAATGTAGCTCCAAAACACCAGTATTATATTAAGTGCTCGGCAGTTAAATATATAAAAACAAATAAACGGCCGTGGGGAAAACTGTGAAATTGTTGCCATCAGAACACAGCAAGAAGGTGATTCAAAAGCTACAAGTAGGTCGCACTGGATCAGATCGCATTAAGTTATATTCCTTCGGGCCTATTAGATTTTATAGAATGTCAGTAATGAATAATAGGGAGCTTCTCGAATAGATGCACTGGAGTGCAGCAAGTATTGCCGACGGATTTAATGTCCCGGAATCAGATGAAAAATTTGATTCACTTCTTTGTCTTACAGGCCTTTATTTTGTAGCCTACTCCGAAGATTTTGGGTTATCCTCGGCCAAGTTTGTTAACTAGAACAGGAAGAATCTTTATATAAATACTCTTTCACATTCGAACCACTCAAAACGAAGTTAGTACTGAGGTAATGTAATGGAAACGTGCACATTAGGGTTCTGTTTGAATGTCCTGATATACAAAATAATTTACAAATAGTGTTATGGATAAAAATAATTGTTTTTACCATCTGCTGGCGATTTGTCCTTTTAAAGCAATAGTTAACAAGGATCAGTATGACGATTTATGGCTCCTGAAACGAGAACGGTCTTGACCGTGGGCGTTGTTATGTTTGCGATCATTTTTCTGAGGGTGAATTACTGAGACATCGTGGTTCGTCAATAACACGACGGAGGCGGTCTCTTAATTTTCTAATGGCCCTTCCTGTATGTCATGCTTCACGCTACCCGGAGAGAGGAGGAAAATAATCAGCTACTCGTATCAGTGCGAAGACAAATGCTTAGTCTTTGCTTTAAGGCGCATATACTGTTTGGCAATCTAATATCAAATGACAGTTTATGTAAAATTCGGAGATTTTGATTCCAGCATACCAGCTTTTCCGCAAAGACCGTCAGTTCGAGAAGGAGGTGGGGTTGCTGTGTATGTCAGAACTGAAATCTCTGTTGTAGAAAGAGTACACACTCTAGCCCTGGAGTATGAGTCCGTCTGGTTAAAGATTAAAAAGGCGAATTCACAGAACCTTGAATTCCTGGCCGTATACCGGCCACCAAACATTCCGAGCGGAGCCGACGACTCGTTCCTTGGTCTGCTGAAAGAAGCTGCTAGCCACCAGGAGGTTCTCATTATTGGTGACTTCAACGCCCCTGCAATCGACTGGAAAAACCTGACAGTGGAGGC